TATTTCAGAATACTTTTGCTGAGGCAAACAACTTTATTGTTTACTATAGAAACTTCCTGAAAGACCCATCATCTCTTCAATAAAGAGCATCTCAAGAGCCTTTAAACCTCTCACCTCAAAATCCTTGCCTTGATGTTCCTGCCAATGCTAAACGACATCATGATCCTCACCGATCCTATTCAAGTTTTTGCATCGAAAGACTCGCCTTAAACCAGAATCAAAATACCAAATAAATTCAGCTGTTCCTTCCCCTTCCTACGCACTACCAAAGCTCTTTCAAGGTGGCACCCTCCACCATGGCAGTAAACAGTACAATCAGCTTTCTCATACGAACAGATTGTTCCGGTGATATTTTGGGAGCCACAATTCAACAACATGATGTTTAGTGAGAAAAACCAGACACAAAAAACAACATGCTTTATGAATCAATTTATGTAAAGTTCAAGAGCAGGCAAACTAATCTATGGTGATAGAAATCAGAACCATATTTGCTCAGGATGTGTGCAGTGGCGGTGAGGTGTGTATTGCCTGGGAGAGGGCGAGAGTTTTCTGGGTGCTAGAAATGTCTATATCTTGATCTGGTGATGGTTACATGAGTATAAAGATGTGTAAAATTCACTGTGCCATACATTTTGTGTACATTTGACTGATGTAAAAAGTGATTTAAAAGTTTAAAAAATTTTTAAAGGTTAAAAATTTAATAGGTGTCAGATTATCAGGATAGCTGACTGTAGTTTTAGAACCAAGGCTTCCCTTGCTTTAGTCAAGGGCTTGCCTTAAACAATATGGGGTTAGGTATTTGGACAGATCCTAACTTGGCTGCCTTGGCTTTGTTTTCAGGCCCTTCTAGGCATCACCTACATCTGAGACCTCCAGTGGCCATTGCAATTGGCCCTGAGCCCTGCACATGAATCAGTGGTATTTGTACACATGTGACAGAGAGGGGTGTGGTGAGAATTAGCAAGTGGAATGCTTGACACAGTCTTCTACTGACAGGATGCAACTTGTGAATCTAGACACCCTGAAACCACCCCTCTTGGGGAACTATTACAGTGTTACTCCTATTAAAAACCTAGTGTGTGAAATGTTGCATGAGGAGACTCACTACCCCTTTCTCTCTTTTAAGGACTTAGCTACATTAGTTGAAATTACATTTAGAATTCTGTCAAAATTGGGGAAGGGGATAATATAGATGGTTTCTGTTCTCATTATTTGTGAGACTCACCCAATTGTCTTATGTAGCAATAGTTTGTTCTTTTTAATTGCTGTATAGTAGGAAAATGTGTGTATATGTGTATGTGTGTGTGTGAGAGAGAGAGAGAGAATCAATTAATTTCTGAAATTAACATGAAATCCACCTCCTGAAAAGCTTAGCAAGCTTCTTAAACCACAATAATTAAAATAAGTATCTACATTGACAAAGATACACACACAGATATTTCATATGAAAATGGAAATAGGAATAATTTGTACTAGCCTTGGGTGGGTGACTCAATTTCTGTGCTTGTTAAAACACATTGGGCCAGGCTGGGCCAAGTCCTGTAAACCCATGCTGTTGTTAACACTCCTTTCATTTCATAAATGTAGTGAGAAAAATTCAGGCTGTACTATAAAAAGCCCTGATAAAAAGTCAGTCCTTAAAGGAATTTCATTACCTTCAGTTTGAAAATAGAAAAACAGATAATGTAGTTATTTTTTAAAAGCTTATTTAGTAGGTAAACTAAATAGATACCATGAACTTACATTTCCCAAACACGGAGCAAGAATGTTGGCTTCCCCATAATATTTTTTAGCCCGTGGTTACTGCCTGCCCCACCTGGCCCATCCCTCCACCAAATCACAGGCACATTTATTCTTCAGCGTTGACTGGAGAATGGCTCCTCAGTTCCCCAATAAGAGCAATGGTTTCTCATACATTTGAGGCATTTCCTTGAAGACTGGACTATTCCCCGAATGATTTTAAAACTGAGTCTTTCTCTTCTCATTTTTGTTTTCTTTCTAAAAGTAATGTGTTTATTGTAGAAACTTTTGTAAGTACACATAAGCAAATCAAGACAAAAGCACCCAGAATCTGATCATAATTACCATTTAGTTTATATATATTAAATATAAATATATAACTTCATTGTGCTGACATTTGATCAAACCAGTTCCCTGTTAAGATTTTAGGCTCTTGTCATTTTTCTTGGTATAAATAATATTACCAAAATTATCCCTAGAAACTGAACATCTTTGATGATCCTCTTAAAATAAATTTCTAAAAGTAAAAATACTGGGTTAAAAGATGTGCTGACTTTATAGATTGTAGCTTTTCTGGAAAGTTGCACCAAACCCCATGTCTGTTCCCACAGAGGTTAAGCATCAAAGGGAAAGTAACCGGAGCATTCTCATGCACCAGTAAGAAAAAAGTGGTACTGAAAGCAACAACCCATCAATTTTCTTAGATTTCAGTTCAAGAGGTTTCCTTTATGCGGGCAGTTATTTGTAAATTTGGTAACCACGGTAAATTTGGTTACTACTTCCTATGACCCTTAGATTGAACTATCTAACCTTGAGGCCATGTGTGCTATTCAGGTGATCCAGATTCTACAGCATTTACATTGTTTTATGTTGCCAGGTGATAATGAGCTGTTTCAGAATCCCTGAGGGAATTTACAGCCAAATTGAGGGGTTTAGAGTATTACAGATCCAGGACAGCCAGTGACTTGGATAAGCTATTTGCTTTGGCCAATGGCAATGCTTATTATTTAAAATTTACCACCCAGGGGAAAGTGAACCACTCCAATGTGGGCCCTGGGAGAGGGGTGATGGGGGGTTACAGGGGCCTGTCAAAGCCCCTAGGCAGGTGGCGAGGCCAAGTCAGTGCTGGAGGAGCTAAGATCCCAGCACCTGGGCAGGGGCTACAGAGGTACAGGACCAGCAAGAGGAGCTAAATAGCCTGGGTTTTTACATTAGACCTGGATTTGGATCACAGTTTTATCACTTGCAAAATGTATGGCCTTGGGCAGATTACTTAATCTCTCTGAGCTTTGACTCTAAAATGGAAACAAGCACCACTTTCTACGGCTGTTGAGGGATTTCAGTGAGATAATATGTGTAGAAACCAAGTACAGTAGCTGACACATTGAAGGAACTCAGTGGTTGCTATTATTACTATCATGGTTAATAATTACTATGCCATTTCCTTTCAGGGCTCATTTAGGAAAACAAGGCACTTATACCTGATCACTATGCCTCTTTTTTGAGAAGGTTCTTAACCTGGTCCAAGAACTCCCAAGAGGCCCATGGATAGATATCTGTGAAAGAGAGTGTTAAACTTGAATGGGGGAAAAAGTCATTATTTTTATTAACCTCTAATGAACACTTAGTATTCCTTTATTATGACTGCATGCAACAAATCACAGTACTATTAGCAATATTGATCATGCTTTTATCAACAATGCAAAGTTGCATATTATTTTCGTACCACATTAAAATTGTCTTGGGTATCTCAAAATTTCATTTCAATTGGAATCATGTTGCAAAGTACAGTAGCTCTTAGACCCACTCATTAGACCTCTGCTAGATCACACATGATCACTGCTTTCCTGTGCAAGGACATTGATGTGATGGAGCTGGCCATTATGACAGCTATGTCATAATTTTCAAAAATATTTTGATAAAATATTTCAATATATTTGTTTACTTTGTGCTCCTATATGCTTTCTTTATTCACTTTTAATTTTTTAATTTATTAATTTTTATTTATTTTATTTTATTTTTTAGAGAGAGAGAGGGAAGGAGAGAGAAACACAGATTTGTTGTTTCACTTATTTATGCATTCGCTGTATGTGCCCTAACCAGGGATCGAATCCACAACCTTGGTGTATAGGGATGCCGTTCTAACCAACTGAGCTACCCGGCCAAGGCTATTTTTTTTAAACAGTATCCTTCAAAAAAATTTGTAGGCTTCAACAGAATGCCAGAAGGACACAGGGACAAAAAAAATTGAACCCTTCTGTTGGGTGCCTCCCAGGCAGGAGGCGCTCTTCTGTCTGAGCCAGCAAAGCTGCTTTATTAACCGCTGTCTGCAGGCAAATAAACACCTGTAGAGATGTAGATACAAGAAAACCAACTCCATCTCTGTGTCCCAGACTTCATTTCATTTTTTGCTTCATGCCATGACCTTTCACCAAGCTCACTCACTATTCTTGGCAATCATATCAAAGCCTTTCAGCTGATCACATCTGTGTCCCTTAAAATGTAGCCATAAATATTTTTGTTAGGAAGGCGTGACAACTGGAGATAAACATCAAACTGATGATAGCATCAATTATAAATAATCATCTATCACAAGATCACCAGAAGGCATGGCCCCTGACGCTACTGCAGTCTTTGTCCCTGTGTCTTGTCAATTATTAGTACTTGTTATACTATTTTTTAAAAATACAGTGACAGGAGTTTGTCACAATTGTCGGGTTGTGTGTTCTGCTCCAACCCAAAGTCCCCATAAGTAAATTACCCTGCAATAAGTCCTGTTATATTCTATGGAGTTGCCTGCTGCGTTTGTTGGTCTGAAGATTCCTTCCCGTTACAGTGGCCATTACAGCTTTGCTCCATCCTTGGACAACACTGAAAGCAGAACATTTCTGAAGACAATTCCCAATAAATAGATCAGGAGATCCTGTCTCTGGAAAGAGCCTAACTCTGTACAACTGACATAAAATATCAAGGAAGAAAATGTCTGTTCCCCCTGCCCCCCAGGAACCTGAGGCTTGCAGCACCCAGCAGAAAGGAAGCTGCCAAACGAGGGTGAGGGCCCCAGGGATGGCAGAGCAAGGACAATGCGTGGGTCGCAGAAGAGGTAGGAGAGGAGGGAAAGGGCCAGGGAGGGAAAGTGGGAAAAAGAAACCAGGAAACACAAAGCACCCAGCAATAGGGGTTTCACAGCCTGCAGACTGGAAAAAAATAGGGAGGAAAAAGAAATTTTAAACGAAGGACAATGAAACTAAGCAAAAAAAAAAGTGTTAGTGAATATTTTATTTTGTTGACTTAAACAAGCAAGTTTGGGGTATTTCTTGTGGTCTGCCTGCCCCACCTCCCTTCTCCCCCGTTTTCGGATCGTGCTGATCAACTGCTTTATTCCGTTTCCCAATTTTCTTCCTGTCTAATCATCCAGGCCTTTCTCTTCTTAAATGCATGACCCTGAGTGCTTGTCTTTGAAGAACAAAAGCTTCGCACAGGGCAGGAACACGGGACCTGCCCGCTGGGCTCATTCGTTTGGCCGAGAGCATGGTGAGTGGGCCTCCTCTCTGGCGAGGCGCTGTCCCTCCCAGATCGCAAAGCAGCTCAGAGGCCCATGTCAGAGGCCTATCAATGGGAAACACCATATAAACAGTGAAAATCATCTTTTCAAGTTGTTGGATTTTTCTCCTTCATGGTCTTAAAAAAAAAGCAACTAGAAATCTTCCATTTAATAAACAGGAGCACATATATACAGCGGTAATCGGGATGTAACAGTTCTCGTCGTAACGTTTCTCAAAAACATTACTTCAAGCCAGTTTATCTCAGATACGCTGAGGACCGTCACTCCACCTGGAAATTCCCTCCAGAGTGTGTTTCATTTTCTCATTCCTTAAAAAAATGTTTGTTTGCTGAGTGCAGACACTGACATCACATGAAGATGCCAGTCTTTACACACACATATAAAAGGGGAATATAAGAAGTATGATACACGAGTGCGAAGTTTTACAAATTAATACAAGTAAAATATATAAATTACAATGAAATAAAGACGGTGGTCCTGTCTTGGGGTGGTTCTTCTAACAGTCATATTGCTGTAAAGAAAATAAAATGTGCATTAGGTTACAAACAGGCTAAACAAACAATGATGACATGTCAGTCTTTTAAATTCCTGTCTTAAGCATGAAGCCAACTGATCTCAGCTTCAGCAGAGCTTTGGCCAACAGTACTGAGCGTTAGACAATGCTCACAAAATGTTTCCTAAACAAACCAGGCAGACCCGCTGTCCTCTCGGAGTAAGAACTGCAGAAGGGGCCATGGAAACTGTAGCTTAGCAATGCTGAGCTCGCATTGAACGTGTTGGGGAGGTTTTTAATCTCAGGGGTTTTAGAGACAATGCCATGGGAGTTTCGCACAGCGGTGGGCTCAGTGTGGGTAACCCTTCTAATTAAATGCTACTGGGTTCCCCAGTTGACTCATCTCCACTAAAAACCTTGCCCTCTGAAAGTCACTTTTGTCTTAGAAACAAAGGTAACAGATCTGCTCTGCCGTGTTGGGAAAGCAGCCACTCCTGCTGTGACTCAGATGTAAACCCAGGGGGACTGTTTGCTCCCTCCAGGGAAGAGTGTCACTCTGCTGAACCACTACAGTAACTTCAAGTCATCGACATATTATGCCTGTCCCCAAATTGCATGAGAGCTGAAGTCCAGTGGGGCTTCACCGAATTTAAATTTCGCCTTATATGAAGCTCAAGGCTAAAGATAGGTCCTTACAGTAATCCCAAGAGGACTCTTCTCTGCCTCTCCCAAACCACAGTGCGGGAAACAGCTCCATGGTAAAGGATTCCCACTCCTTTGTTTTCCCGGGAATTTGGCGAACTCCCAAGGAAATTATTAATCTTTCTGGATTGCCTGATAAGGCATACTAGGTTTTTATTTTAACTTCCCCTCAAATATTATAGAAAGTTTCCATTTATTTACAGTGAAGTTTTTTACGGTAACAATGGGCTTTTAGTGTTCATTGGGTTTTGTCTTATTTTCAAAGAAAGTTAAGAGACCTTGAACCAGAGAAGTAAATGATTAGAAAAATACGCGCTCAATAAATTTCTGTTTAATCCTGTTTTATGGAATAAGACATAAAACAACAACACCCCAAATTGGACCAAAGCTGAACTTCTATCAATTCAATAATTTATAATTTTTAGGAGGCCATAGAAACAAGAACATTCCCCACTACTAGCAAATGCATATTTCTCTCCAAAATCCTATCCCCAGGAAACAACTGCTTCCTGGTTTTCTTTCCCAATGAAAGGCTTTTCGTGAGCTGCTATCAAAAGGCCACTAGTGCTTCTCTATGCTTAGCTGTTCGGGCTTTTTATGACTCCCTTTTAGGAAGTACTGTAGAAAACCGAACAGAACAGCAACTATTGCACACAGGTTAAGAGCAGGGGCTGTGGCATAAAATGACCGAGGGCTGGGAGCCTGTTACTGCCTGACTAGGTGATTTTAGGCATATTGCTTCATCTCTGAGTCACAGCCTCATCTGAAATACAGGTTTAGCACCATGCCTAGTGCAATGAATGTTGGCTATTATTCGTGAAAACTAGTTGGGAAAATGAGAGAAGCAAAGCGAGCACATTTCTTTTGTGTCTGCAGGCAGAGCAGTGGGTTAGCTCCTGAATGGGGCACTTTGTCTAGGGGTGGCGGTTTCCCATATCCACAGAGCCAACTATGAAGAACCACGGTAACCCAGCGACAATGTTCAAGGAGACATTATTGAGAGCAAAACGGAAGGCCGTAAGTGCTTCACGACGGCAATGTAGGAATAAGTGCTGGTAGGCTGAGCCACGTTTAATTTTGCCTTTCTCTCTGCGTGATGGTGCATTGTGGTAACTGACCACGCGAGGGCCAGGCTGCGACCTCTTCTCGCAGGTTCTTACCTGATGGTGAGTACAGCAGTAGCCACATATGCCTCCAAGCAACCCATTTATTACTTGAATGAGACACAAGATGAATTCAATCCCACCAAGCGCCAAGAGGATAGAAAACAGAGAGACGTTCCACTCCACAACGTGCTGGGGTTCAAGGCACTGGGACCATGTGGATCTATCCAGAAGGTATCTGTGGATAAAAACAGACCACATGACCACACCTGATGGGACGCCTCAGAAGCTACTTTTTGTGGGATGTTTTTTCATTCAGAAAAAAAGGAATGAATTAATTCAATGGCCTATCTCAAATTCTTCCAATCCATGTCATTCCACAATATGACAATTTAGCCCATATCTTGTTGCCATGAGAAACATAAAATTCAACACAGGGTATTGAGCACTCCGTGTGAGTGAGACATCAAGCCAGGGCTGGGGGTGCAACAGTGAACAGGGCAGGGGCTCTTTCCTGGAAAAACACAGCTTAAGGGAACATACAGAGGCAATCTCAACACAGCAGGTATACTAATCAGGTAAACCAAGTGTGAAAGGCCACAGAGGAATGAAACCTAACATTACAGTCACAGAGGAATGAAAGGCCAGGAGAAGACCTACTTACGTAGCTTTCCCAGAAGTCTGAGCTTCATGAAGGTAGAAACCAGACCTTTCATCATTGTATGTCCTGCCCCTAGACCACTATCTGGCACACATTAGGTTCTCAACACATTTTTAAAGTAATTGAATGATACATAGCAATCCAAAGCCACTCTGAGAAATGTAAGGAAATAATGCTGAGGTCATATCTGAATATATATGTAAATTCTTAGGAGAGTTTCTAAAACCTGGATATTCTTACAGTTTGAAAAATTCTCATTCCTCTCCTAGAATTTTGACCTTTGCTACATCATAGAGTATTTGAATCCTTAATGAAATTGGATTTAATTATGTGGGAAAGCCTGGGGTTGACTTAATTCCACAGAGGTTGGGTATGATTCTTTCCTTTTCACTTCTTCCCACCACAACAGAACAAAGGGGCTGGGAATTAGAGACCTAACTTTGGAATGGTTCACTGAGCCAATCAGAAAGTCAGTTTGCCGATTACAAAATATTCTGTCCTTCAGGCCCTGTCTTTCTGCATGTCACTGAAACAAAAACCTGTAATTTCAGGACAAAACATAAAAAAAATTATTTGGCCCCACTTGGCTATTGAGCAACTAATCACTGGCTTGTGACCATTAGGTATTCTCCATGTTGCAATCTCTGGACAGGCTAAGATGAGGAATGACATAGAAGCAGAAGGTTTCTTGTAGAAGCTGAGGTGAATCATGGGAGGGACATATAATCAAACAGCCAAAAAAAAAATTGAGTGATAGCCCTCACCTCTCCTTGCATTGCAGCTACATTAGTCATAACTGTTTTTTAGAGATGGCTTTTTGCAGTAGTTTTGTATGTCTGTGCATACATGAATAACCAATACTAGTACATTCAGTACAACAACAAAATCACAATTTCTGAACACCAAAATTTTAAACTCCAGTAAGTGCTAATTTTCCTTCATAGGCCACCATTGGGCTAGTTCCATCGTAAGCTAGTAGAGAATATTAACAGCCAACATTGGTGGCGCCCACCGTGTGTCAGCTTCTGTGACACGTATTTTACATAAAGCATCTCACTGACAACTGCCATTAGTTTTATTTGACAGATGAAGTAACTAAAATGCAGAGAGCTCAGTTCATGATTTCCTGCCCACTTAGAGACTAAATGCAGAGCTGGGGTCAAACTCAGGTTTATCTAATTCCATACTCGACCTTATGGCCTTACTACATGCTATACAATTCATGGGGGATATTCTTCATAATATAAAGGCAATTAAACTTCATTATTCGCATTATTTTTACTCATGTCTCTCCAAACCTTTCAAAATTCAAAGAAGGATGTCACTCACTTATTATAATGTACATCATTTTCTATCAGCTGTTTCTGTTCTTTTGTTAATATAAGACAAGAAATAAGTATCAACATAAAACAATGGAACATCTGAAATCGCCCTGATGTTAAAATTGTGGATAAAGCTTGATCTCTTTAAATAAGTGCATTGTACGTAGGGGAGCAACAGTTATATGTGGGTGGGTTGTGGGAGGGATGGGTAGTATGACTCTCCTAGGCTTTGGTTAAATTCACATAGTTTCCATCCATATAAGGATCCATGATATTTTCTTATAAAATAGTAGAAACAGCCAATTGTTCTGAAATAGTGTACATACTATCCATGAGCACAAACGCTACAGCCAGGCTGCATGGGTTCGAATCCTGACCGCGTGTCCCAGCAATGTGGCTTTGGTTAAGTTACTTCATCTCTCTGTCTTTGTTTCCGCCTCTTTAAAACAGGGGCCACAGCGGAAGCCACCTAGTAGGGTTCTCATGAGGACTGCGCCAGGGTGGCCATTAAGAAGCCTTGGAGCCCCCCAGGTCGGGGCTGAGCAGGGCCCCTCAGGTGCCCTAATCCAGGCCTGAGCGAGCGCCGGGGCCCGGCTGAGCGGCTGGATGACCGGGTGAGTGACGCCCTTTAGCTTGACGGGGCCGCCACCGTGCACATGCGGTGGGTAGGCGTGTGTGCTCTGTGCGGAGAAATTACTCACTGTCCCTCGGTGTCGAGGAAGGTATAGTTCCACTGGTTGGAGGAGTCCAGGCACAGAGGTCCTGCCGCTAAGCCCAGGGCTGCCACGATGACGCAGTAGCCAGACCCTGCGATTCCGATGACAGCGGCCAGCACGGAAGAAAGCATCTGGGGGGGAGACACGGGAGGTGGGTGAGCCACAGGGTGCCCGCGCCCAGGCCGCGGAAACCAGCCTCCCCGCTGGGCAGGACCTACCACGCATCTCTTGCCACAGTTGTCACTGCCGCAGCAGCCACAGCAGTCGTCTTCCTCCAGGCCCATGAAGACAAATGCTGGCAGGAATATCTGGTTAGAAAACAAGCAAATGAAAGTCACTGTGTTTCCCCAAGTCCATAAGGGTCACGTTAAGCACCATTGGTACAATATATTTGTTCCTGACATTGTTGACTGGCTTTGCATTAAATTGATCAAGTATCTCAAATAATGTAAAATGACGAAGAGAAAAACCCCTCTAAATGTAGTGTCTGCTTGTTTTCTCGTCATGTGCCCGAGCATTCTTTAGGGTGAGGGTGTGGCCTGGGAAGGCTGAAACAATAACTTCTGAATGTGTTTGTTCCCCCGAGTTCCTAGCATAGTCCCAGCCGCAACTGCTGGGGCTTCGTTTGTTTTTGCTGCTGCCGTTTTGGAACTATTGAACCTTGTCTTTAAATCTGATTTGTTTTTTATTGTAAAACATAGACCATACCAACAATCTTTAACAGAGTAACTGAAACCTTTTTTGTTTTTGTTTTTAAGTGGGAGAGAGGAAAGCTCTGTAATACTAAAAGTGAACTGCTTCTTTGAAGATACGATTGTATGGTTGTAGCTTTTAACAAAGCTCTTTAAATAAAGAAAGTATGAAATACTTTGAGTTTGATTAAAAGAAGCTTAAACAAATGCAATAATATTTAAGCACAAATGATTATGTTAATGTGATAGTAATGTTTAAATTCAAAGCAGATTTATCAAACCATAATTAGTATATCAAGGTTAAATATCCTTTATTTGACTAAGAAAACTATTTTGTCCAGTATTAGCAATTCTATAAAACTTCTCTTTAAAAGTCTCAATCCCAGAAGTTTAAAGTAGCAAACTTAAGTTTGTACACATTCTTTCCATGCTGTAGTTAAAGCTAATATTTTCAGCTCCAAACTTGGCAGGCAAATTCCTCTCACTTCAATTAAAAACAAACCTTGGAAAAAACAACACATTCCACTACTAGCTTCAGACCCTGATCCGATGCTGACTGCAGGCTTTTTCCTAGACACCACACCCTAGGATCACATAAAAGAAGAAATTTATAGTTCTTTCTAAATAGCAGTGCACTCACTCACAATCCATTTTTTTTCTTTTCTGTTGCAGATGCCTGAGAACAAACAGCAGAGATTTGGGATCCCAGGGTCTGTTGATTTAGACAGAAAGCCAGCCGACTCCTCCCAGCTCCCTAAGGCAAAACTGATCTAGGACTGCTGGCTTCAGGACTAGAAACTCCAGTTTCTCAAATCTGATTTAACAGCTAGTATCTGTTTCTAGTTGTAAAGTAAGAGAGTTTAGCAGAAAGATAGTTCACGTTCAGTTGAAAGAGGATTTTGTAAAGCAACAGCCAAAGAATTAGTATATTATACTTGTGTCAACTTTTGCATAATCTGCTTTCAAAAGAGGAATGAACACAAACCACTGGATTTGGAAACAGGCATTTCAGAGAACTTTCCATGAAGACACAAGAAAGCATCACATTCAACAGCAGAGGATTTTTGCAGGCTGCAATAATTTTGAACAACTTACCAGCAAGCCCCCTCCTAGGATGCCAGAGAAGTACCACACGAACTTGCTGAGGTGGTTTTCGGAGGCATACTTTGTCTCCCCGTTGGGAAAGTAGAGCAGAATGTTAGCGACAATGCAGAGGACGGCGAGCCCCACCAGGGACTGCCCGATGCACCGCGCGCACTTGCCGTAGCACATGGTGGCAGGGAGGCTGGGGGCCGCTTTCCCCTTCACGCTGCAGCTCGGGAGGGCCCCGGTCCGACGGGAGTGTGCCTGTCAGCACAGAACGCAAAAGCCGATTTTGGCCCATTCCCACCACCTCTTAAATACCCGGAGTTCTTAGTCACCGGGTGGATGAGGTACTTTGCTTTCATTGGTCCCGACTGCAGGCTGCAGTTGGGGAGGGGGAGGAGGGGAGGGAGGAATGTCCCGCCCTCCCAAATCCTCCCAAATCCCTGGGACTAGTGAAACCAGGGGCAGGACATGAGCAAGGGGAAGTCCTAGGCTGGAGAGCAAATGATTAATCCCCACCAAGAAATTAGCTGTGCAACTCCTTTACGGGATAAAGAATGAACAGGAAAGCCTAGTGCAGCTTACCAGAAACTGCCAAGTGTCGGTGTCCACGCTGTGACCGCCCTGCCTGAGGCTTTGAGTGACAGTGGGCTGTGATCCTGCTCCACGCAGCGGCCTGGACAGCGCTCAGCCTGCGAGCTCCGGTTCACCTCCACCTCTGCGCCGATTTAATTGGGAACCCGGGCCAGCCTCCCCAGCGCTGAGCTCGCTTCCTCCCCTGTGAAAGGCAAGGCGCCTGAGCCATCGCCCAGGGGCTGGGGGAAGCTGCTGGGAAAATGACAGAGCAGCCTGCTTTCCTCGTGTGCTCTGCAGGCTGCCCCGCCATCCAGCCTTCCTGGACAGCTGCCTCCAAAACAAACCTGGCACCAAAACAAAGGTGGCATTAGCCAGCACAAAGAGCTCAGGCACCTTTTATTCCTGAGCATTGCTGTCTGGCAAAGCGATGCCAGGGAGGGCCAAGGGAGGGCTACCGGGTGGGAGAAGGATGGAAAGGAGAGGAAGAAGAAAGGACAAGAAAGGGACAGAAGAGGAGGGACTGGCGAGCAGACTGGGGACGCAAGATTGAGAGGACCTGGAATGGCAGGGTGAACTGTGGTCCCCCAGCCAGACTCTGAGACGGGCTCGCACGTAAAGGCAGAGAAAGGGTGTCAGGCCAACTTCCTGATGTGCTTACCCTGCAGAAGGAGAGGTCCCACTCCGCATCTGTTTAGACCTTGAGTAGCAGGTTGGACCATCCAGCAGGGTGGGGAGAGGACAGGGTGCCAGCTGGGGCCTGTACTGGAGGTTCCTTGTCACCAGGACAGAATAGCAGGGACAAAAAAAGAGGCCAAAAGGCCAAGATGGTGAGTTACTAATTCAGGAAAGAGAGGGGAGCAGGGCTGGTGAAGCCAGAAGCTCAGGGCGAGGCCAGAGTCTGAAGAATTTGGGCCAAAACTAGAGGACAGGACACATGCTTAATGTGAGGAGCCTGCTGGAGTGAGCGATGGGGGGGCGGGGAACGAGGGCTGGGAGGAGGGCCCAAGAGGAAGCATGGCCTGAGCATCCTAGCAGAGGTGGGGCCATGATCCAGGCTGGCCTGAGGAAGCAGATGAGCGGGCCGCTGAGTGCTGGCAGGGAGGCTGGCACCGCTGCCTGCTCAGGCGTAGGGAGGCGGCTCTGCCCGGGGGCGCCACTCCTGCACCACCAAGCACCCGACAGACAGCGGATGCCCTGTCCTGGCTAAAGGCCTACTGCAGGCAGGATTCCACAGGGTCAGGGCCTGGGGGCAGCACAGGTGAGTGAGCTGAGGCCCCTCATTCTAACCCTCCACTCTGCTGATCTGTCCCATCTGGGGCCAGGTCCTAGATGGCTTTGCCCCCAGGTACTTAACCCCCTTCCTGCATCTCTCTGCCACCTTTGTGGGAGAAGAGAGCGAGGGAGGGGCTTGGAAAGAGAGAGTTTGTCAAGATGGTGCATCTGCGCTGTGCTCCAGCTGTGTGGGTCAGGCCGGGCACTTACATTCCTGGGACTCTGTTTCCTACTCTGTAAGACAAGGGACGGGACTAGATCAGTGGTTCTTAAGTTTTTGAGAGTTTTCTAATGATATGGACCCTCTCCCCAGAAAAAGAAATGTACATATATGCAGCCACACACTCCTCCTTCCATTCGTAGGGGTTCACGGACCTCCTGAAGCCTAACAGTGGCTCCTTGAACACATTCTCAAGGTGCGGCCCCATCTGGAGAACACTTGCAGCACAGGTGCAGATTCCTGAGCCATCCTGGACTTAATAAATGGGAATCCCTAGGAGTGGGGCCCAGTCATCTGCATTTTTACAAACACTCCCAATGAGTCTATGTTTGCTCAGGCTGGGGATCACTGGCCTGGTCCCCAGCACGGGCAGGCATCATCTGTGTTAGATGTTCTCTGAGGCCACTCTTATCTCCAATGGCTCCTCAGCTCTACCCAGACATACAAAGCGTGCACGAATTGTGGGGGACAATTGCAGTTCAGTGTAAGGCACTTTCATGCTTGACCTGAATTCTCTTGTAATATAAAGGTCCTTCCCCTTTGCCCACCATCCTGTTACTCTATGTGGCACCTTCTGCTCCTACCCCTCAGCTGGCCACCCAAAGCAGGGTCTTTTCTGGTTTGGGATCTTGGTTTTCTGGACAATTTCTTTAACCGCTTGGCTCTGATCCTGGCTAGACTTTGGTCAACGGGTGACCCTGGCTTTCTCCCGGCTGTGAACTCTCCGTTTCCTGTGCAGAACTGCCATCTCCGCCTAAACTTTCTGGGCTTCCTTCCCTCTCCTGCCTCCACTCCTGACCCTTCCCTTACCTCTGCCTTCCTGTCTCCCTCGTTCTCAGCTTAACTTCTGGAGCTTCCTGCCGCAGGAATCTGCTTATCCATCTCCTTAGAGAGGCCTTGCCAGGGATCCCAGCTGACAGTGCTCTGCACCCCCAGTTACTCTTTGTCACATCGCCCTGTTTTAATGTCATCCCAGCGTTTTCATCCCTGAAATTATTCTGTTTTCACTTATTTCCGTCCCTTCCCCTCCGAGTGCAGGACACTTTCTGGCTTGTCCACCGGTATTTCCCCAGGGCCTGAAACAATGCTTGGCACATAGTAGGTGCTCAGTAAATATTTACTGAATAGTTGAATGAACAGATAAGTGAATCAAAGAATTTTTTAAGCCTATTCTTTCCAGGCTCCAGTCCCTCCGCCCTCGGTTCTGTTATCCGTTGCTGAGATCACCATCTCACTAAAGGCCCTCTTAGCTGTTCACTCCCTTGCTTCCAGGTCCTGACACTCCCTGGCTGTGTGGTTTGAGGCAAGTTATAAACAACTCTGTACCTCAGTTTTTATCATTCCTTCATTCAGCAATATTTAATGAGCTCCTACTATGTCAAATATCCCTGACCTTAAGGAGAGTCCATTCTAGCAGAAAGAGAGAGACAAATAAAAAATAAGAGTAAGCCTGGCCAGCATGGCTCAGTGGTTGAGCATCAACCTATGAACCTGGAGGTCACGGTTCGATTCCCAGTCAGGGCACATGCTTGGGTTGTGGGCTCAATCCCTCGTGGGGGCGTGCAGGAGGCAGCTGATCCATGACTCTCATCACTGATGTTTCTATCTCTCTCTCCCTCTCCCTCCCTCTCTCTGAAATCAATAAAAGCCATATTTTAATAATAATTATAATAGTAAATAAATAAAATCCATTGTGTATTCGATGGTGATAAGTGCAGGAAAGGGGAATAGGCAAGGGAGGGAGAGAGCCTCCTGACAGGGTAGTAACAGAACCCACATCACAGAGTTGTGATGTGTGAAGTGAGTCAACGTGTGCAAAACATGAAGCAGCTGGCACTTAGCCATGGCTCAATAAACGTTACTCATTCTTACTTACTGCTTTCATCAAGCCAGTCTCCCAGGGAGGTGTCCCTGCTCCATTTATAACTCATTATATCTACTTCTCTGGAATTCCATTGCTCCATTCTCATTGGATTCTTTTATTATCTTTTGCAAGTAATTTTTAAATACTGGAGTTCCCCAGTTGTATTAAAAGCTCACTTTTCTCTCCCTCGTTCCCTCTGAACGAGCCTCAGTCCATGAATACTTTTGTAAAGAGTGGTTTTTGCTTCATCACAGAGCTGGACACTGGTTGTCAAGCCCACGTTTGAGAGATGCAGTCCCGCTGACTGTTCTTCCTTCCTGGCGCAGTCCGCCCCACCCAGCCATGTTCCCGTGACGGAACTCACCAGATTTTCCATGACACCAGCCCTCACACCCTTGCCTGCCTCCCAAACCTGCCTACAACTCCCACTTTGTCCTTGAACACACCCCATCCAGCAGCACGCAGACCGTGATGCCCTCCTGTGTATCCTAACCAGCCACCCCTGCTCCTCGAAGGGCCCAGAGAGCAGGCTGTCTTCCAGGGCACAGCAGCTAGTGTAGTGTCAGGCATTAAGTTGGCTCCCAAAAATATTTGCTAAATTTTGCTTAAATAAATAGGGGAGCTGGGTATGTTCATTTCTAAGGTTATTTGCTTTTAAGCAAAACCAAAATGTCTTATGAAAAGTTAGGCAAAATTGGCATTTCCATTTGAAAAATTTCAGTTTTACCTATCATTCTCATGAGCAGCTGGCCAACCAAGTGATGCTCTCTGCGGCTCTCTTTTATTTCTCCAGATCCCAGCTGCCTTTGAGGAAGATGCCAAAAACTGTTACCTAGTTTCTGAACATTTAGGGGAAGAGGGTGGGACAATTAGTGTGCAGAACAGACACATGCCAGTCCCTCCCCCGTGCAGTGGGATTTTATAGCTCTCCTGTGTGGAGCTGTTTCCAGGTGAGGAAACTGAGGCCCTTATGGGTTAAGTATGCAGGCTAGAGTCACAGGCTGGTGAGGAACACTCTGGATTCCTCCTCCTCAAGTCCCACTGACTCAAGCACTCATGACCTTTACTTCACATGTTGGCTTCACAATACCTCCCTCCAATGAAAAACATTGACCAGATTTAAGGACTTCTTATTTGGCATTTCTGAATAACATCTTTTCAAGACATTAATTATTTGGATTCTACTTTAATTGTATAAATGATTTTAAAGTTAACCTGGTGTTTTCAAAAGAGAACACCTTCCACCAACCTGGGTTGAGGGGCAGAGCAATGGTGGAAACACAATACTAAGGCTATGGCCATAGACAATAAACTTGGTTTTATTGTAGAAAAATAGAACTGTCAACAATC